ATGAGGTTTCTGCGATATCTTGTGTTTTGCATGCTGGTATGCTGGTCAACCAGTATGACCATTCTGGGTGACCAGGTAAGCCAGCACCAGACCATCATGAACCAGCATTAACCAGCTTAGACCAGCATGGAACCCCAAAAAGTTACTTTATGAGACCAGACAAAACGGTTCTTTAATTTTAATGTAAGTTGCTGTAAAAACCCTTTCCTAATGGTGTGAACACTGACACACACGCCAAATAAACACCACACTCTACATTTGGGAATATTAACAAATACTTTGTATTTATTAGTTCTCCAGCTTAGCGATAGTGAATATGAAAGAACTCATTTGTGGTTGCAGCATGGACAGGTCACTTCTTTTGAGGTAGGGGTCTAAAAAAATGGCTACAATGGGGAAGTCACTGGCCTAGCAGTCTCCTGACAGGCCACTGTCTCTGAAAAACCCTTCCTGCTCCATCATGCTGGTGGTCTTTCTACCATCTCTTTTTCCCTCTCTCCCTGCTCTTCTATTTCTCTCTCCATGTCAGCGAAAACTGGCCCTATCCAGGCCCTCCACTAGAGCCCTGCTGCTCTGTGTTTATCTCCTCTGAACACAGTGCTGCTTTAGAAAAGATACAGCTAGGTGATCATGCCGCCAACCTGGTTTAGATCCGCTGAGGCTGTGACAGTTTGGAAAGGTCTGTAATCCCACGCTGAGGTCTTATGGTTCCTTCTGACTAGCGGATGTGATTTTGTTATGGCCGACGTAAAGAACCTCTCTGACCCCTGTGTTTTTTTCAGCTCCTCGCAGCAGGCTGTACCGCAGTAGAGTTTCAGTCATAGATGTTGTCAGCCAAAAAAGATTATTCTTTTGAAGGAGAGTATCTTTGCAACCTTGTGTACTGCATGGGATCGATCTACTTATCTATTGCTGTCAGCTTAATCCTACAACATTTGAGAAACTATCGGTAGGAGAATATTCCTGCTTGTGTGTGTGTGTGTGTGTGTTTGTGTGTGTGTGTCAAGGATGCTCTGTTGGCCGTGTAATGCTCGTAGGGTTACCAGTGTGGCTTCTAGCAATAGTGAACATCCTTTTTTGTAGGTTTACCAGTGTGGTTTCTAGCAATAGTGAACGTTCTTTGTCATAGGGTTACCAGTGTGGCCTCTAGCAATAGTTAACGTCTTTCTTCGTAGGGTTACCAGTGTATTGTTGCTGTGAAAAGAAAAACCCCTATCTTCAAAATAGTCACTTAGCTTAACAGGAGACAAAAACATTCTTAACTTTTAAGATGAGTTAACATAAAGAGATTTTTCCTTCATTTTAGAGCATTTCTATTGGTCCATTCATCAATAAATTTTAACACAATGTAAAGTTTAGTGTTCAAATGATCTAGAAATTGAGATGCATGTTTTTTTTTTGTTTTTTTTTAAAGGACAGCAAAGATACGCTGGTTTTGGTGACCTTCTATGCTGGTCTATGCTGTTTTTTTTCTAGCAGGGATGTAATGCTGTCTATATAGTGTTACCAATGTGGGCTCTAGCTAGTGAACTTTCTTGGTTTGTGTAGTTAGCCAGCTTTTTTTTCACAGCATACAAGTAGGTGCTGTAGCAATGTAATGCTTGCCATGTAGCATTACCAGTGTGAGAGCTAGCTGGTGAACCTTCTTTGTTTGTGTTGGATTCTATTGAGTAACTTTGGTAACATGATTTTGGACTGGACAGTCTGGTTTAGAGCTCCATTGTCCAGTGACAAGATGTTAAAATGTGTCACTCTAGATGCATCCCATCAAATGAAGTTAATAAAGTGTCATTCTCATCTTGTCATTACACATCTCTCTCTCTCTCTCTCTCTCTCTCTATCTCTCTCTCTCTCTCTCTCTCTCTCACTCACTCTCTTTCTTGCTCCGTCTCTCACTGTATCTTACGGAGCCCTGCTGGTGACATCCCATATAAATAAAAATAATGCGTGCCTTAGTAAGGCGCGGGAATGAGATAATTAAGTCATGGCCTCGACTTAGTTAGACATGGGAACGAGATCATGCCTTACTTAATTATCTTGTTCCCACACCTTACTAAGTCGTGTCCACGCATTATTTTTATTTATACAGGATGTCACCAGCAGGGCTCAATAGTATCTCTCTCTCTCTCTCTCTCTCTCTCTCTCTCTCTCTCTCTTTCTGTCTGTCTCTCTTAGTCTTGCTAAATAGCACATCAAATTTGGCACCATCAATGCTACCAAAACAAATGAAACAAATGCAATAAACCAGATAATCATCTGTTTTGAAACAGGCAAAAAAAAGACAAAAATAATGTGTTAAAACACATCCCTGGTCAACAAGGCTGGCTTTGACACAGCTGAAATCTGGCAAGCCATTAACCAGTCTGGTTTCTAGCTAGTGAACTTTCTTGGTTTGTGTGCCATAGTTAAGTAACCCTAGCCATGTAGTATTACTGCTGCGAGCAACAGGTAACGTTAGCCATGTAATCCTGGCCATGTAGAGTTACAAGTGTGGGTGCTAGCATGTGAACCTTCTTTGTTTGTGTGCCATTCTAATGTAACGTTAGCCATATGTTCAAGTGCGAGCACTGCCCCGCACTTAACTTCAAGACAACACTCGCAGTTCTTACTTTCACAACTTTTAAACTCGAGGGCAGCATTTTGGGTAATGGCTACAGCAAAAAGCGAGAGAGGAGATCAGAAGGAACGAGGGAGCTGCTCATTCGCCTGTGAGATGCTCCTAAATCACCTCCCACCATCAGGCGGCCGAGTAGGCGTGCTCCGAGGACATCTCCATCCTTCTGTATGTGAAGCGGGCCAAAGCGGCGGGCCCTGAGGGGGGCCATGTGGGCGGAGGCGGGGGCAAACAGGGTTCTCATCCCTCGCCAAATGGCTTTGGGAGCCCACAGGATGGAGCGATGGAGTGGGAGGGAGAGAGATGAGACCCTGGCCCCCGCGGGAGCCTCGCCATGAAGAGAAATTTCATTCTGCCTCCCTGGAGGAGTCACAGTCACTTAGCATTGCAGCGGCTCCAAGAAAAGGGATGCGGAGACGATCATAACTCAGGCAGATTAGCGAGGAGTTTGGATGGGGGCAATTGAGAGTGTGGCTAAATTCAGAGATGATGGAAGGGTGGAGAGATAGAGCTGTAAAAATATAGCAGCTGCAACAGCAACAACAACAGCACAGAGAAAGAGCTACATTCACAGACCTCATTATTAGCGGGCGCGGCTACACCAGAGTTCTCTGCCACATGCGGTGACAGTCCGGATGAGAGATGACAGAAATATCCAGAGTATAAATAATGCAAACTGAGCCAGTTGGGAAGAGTTCACGTCTGGTTTAATTAATGAGAGTGGGTGTTAGTCTCCTCTAATTCTGTTCTCTTTGTGTGATTTTGGTGGACATTTGTTAATGTGCAGAGCCCAAAAAAAAGGTGGTAATGTTTTATATATATATAATTTGCAAATCCTTGTGAATGCTGTGCTCAGTAATGCAGCATGACAAGTAGCTCTAAATGATGTGTTTTGTACTTTCAGCTCCATAAGCTTCACAGAACTGCCTCCATTCACAGACTTACAGCTCCATCTAGAGGCAGAGCGGAGCATGACCGTCTCTTTAAGACGTTACAGTTGATGCTTTCAAAGCTGCTTTCAGATCTTTTAGACGGCGCTCTCATAAGTTCACTGCCAGACAAAACACATCAGTCATTTTATATGAGATTATTACTCACTTGACTCGACTTCCAAATGTGACTGTAATGGCAAATAGAGTTTCCTAACAAATAAATGATCCAGTGATTCAATTCAGTACCGAATGTTTAGGTGAGTTTCAGGTGCATCCATTTCAACTGAAAATGATTCACCTGATTCATTTGGTCTGAGTGTTTTTTTTTCTTCAAACAGACTTTATTCCTTTATTGATATTGATTCCTTTATATGTTCATTTTAAAATACCTCCCAAGTTGTGTTATGTTTATTTTGCTTATCTCCCGATTTGCAGCCATGTTTTCTGCATGCTGTATGGTCATTTAGCCCAGTAGGGGGCAGTGATTTATTGCCAGACCAGATTCATTAAACTTGGAGTACTGTGGCACAACTTTTAAAAGTCCCCTTCTTAAAGATAAAACGTTTAAAATATTGATTTAATCTCTCCTTTTTTCCACAAAGATTAAAGAATAATTACTTTTTTTACAGTACTTTATTGTTGTTGGTTGAATGCGACTCATTAGGTTGGCACCAATTTGTAACCACATATAATTGATCTCTAAATATCTTTAAAAGCTTGATGATGAAGTTAATGATGATGATGGTGATGATGATGATGAGGAGGAGGAGGAGGAGAAGGATAATGATGATAATGATTGTGCAACATAGGTCTGATAATGATGACAATGATGATGACGGTGAGGTTGATGAAGATGATGCCAACAATAATTAATGATGAAAACAGAAATGATGATATTAATTTTTGAATTTTTGATTTTGAAGATGAAGATGATTATGATAATCTTTGTCTCCGAAAATATCTACAACTTGACAATGATGGTGATGATCATGATGAAAATGATGGTACAATTTAATTCTAAAAATATATAATAGAACTAATGATAATGAAGATAATGATGATGGTGGTGAGGAAGATAAACATAATGATGGCACTGATGACAATGGTGATGATAATGAAGATAATTGTGATGATTTGAATAACTTTAATAGTAGTAATAACAACAATAAAGGTTCGACAGCTTATGTGATTAACTATCTATGGTTATTTAATTAGTTGTTTAATAAGGCTATTTCTTAAATTAGTAAGATGTGAGCACATGTAAGAGTCTCAGTCACTGTCAAATGAAAGTAACAACGTCTCAGTTCTGTAAAGAGCTGCAGCTCCAGGTTCCACCAACAGGTGGTGCTCTCTCGTAGTTTCTGGTCTCTTCTGATTGGCTCGCTTGTTGAGCCGCTCGGTCCGGCCAGTGTCTCGCTCTACAGTGAAGTTGCTGTAACTCCGCTCGTGTCAAACTCCTGCAGATGTGCAGCAGCTGGTCAGCTCTCTCCTCTGTGCTGTGTTTCTGTCCCTCCACACAGCTGCATCAGAATGATTCCTGACAGAGAAAAGCTATTTATTCTCGCCGGGATACTGATGATGGCGTTATCTTGTGAAGCTAGAGGTAAGTTTTCATCTGATTACTTTGCTGTTATTCATTATTTGTTAAAGTAATAATAGATGTGAGTCGAAAGTTTTCGCTACATAAACAATAACAGATTTTATTGATGATTCTCATTGACTAAAATCATGATACTCTTGATAATTTGTAATGGAAATGAAGATTTCAGTCATGGACCAAGCCAGGGTCATTAATGCTACTGAGTGCTTGCTTTCATTTACACTGACCCGCCATTTCATTAAGTCCACCTCCTTGTATCTTTACTCATGGTCCATTTTATTAGCGCCAATGACCTTACAGGAGCACTTTGTAGTTCTGCTGTTACAGACTGTTGCGTCCGCTCACTGTCCACTCTATTAGACACTCCTGCCTTGTTGGTCCACCTTGTAGATGTAAAGTCAGAGACGACAGCTCATTTGCTGCTGCAAATGCGTTGGTCATCCCCTAGTTCTTCATCAGTGATCACAAGACGCTGTTGGCTGGATGTTTTTGGTTCTCAGTCCAACAGCGACACTGACGTGTTTAAAAACTCCAGCAGCACTGCTGTGTCTGATCCACCTGCATCAGACCAACACACACTAACACACCACCACCTTGTCAGTGTCACTGCAATGCTGAGAATGACCCACCACCCAAATAATGCCTGCTCTGTGGGGGTCCAGGCCATGGTAGAACATGATAACAAAGTATGCAGAGAAACAGATGGACTACAGTCTGTAACTGTAGAACTACAAAATGCTCCTATATGGTTAGTGGAGCTGATAAAATTGACAATGAGTGTAGATACAAGGTGGTGGACTTAATGACTTGGCTGGTCAGTGTAGGTTTAGAGTAATAAAAGCTTGCAGTTTGAATGTGGTGGCTGAGGTCAGAGACTAGTGTCTTCATTCCAGTGTAGAAGATTGTTTTTAATGGACGTTCATAACACAAATGGACACTCAGTGGAGAAGAAATGTAAAATAAATACATGGTTGATTTTGGAAAGCTGTCGTAACGCGGGAATGTTTACACACATGTGGGAGCTATGATGCACGTGTTCAAAAAATGTACCATCCTCTAATAGGAAAGTTTATTTCAGGGTATTGAAATTTTGGTTTGGCATTTAGTGTCACTGTTTTTTACTTACTAAAGTAATTCTAGTGCTGTTTTTGACCCATCACCTAGAAACTCCCTCCTCAATCAGAAGTTTATTTGGAGGAATGTCTTCTAGCGATTCCACAGACTGCTCTTGGCCGCCGAGCCAGTCGTTACATTTGCGCTGAGGTCAGGCTCCACAAAAGCCCCTTTAAGGTCTCAATTTGTTTGTTGACTGAGCCTCAGAGCGTCAGGAAGTGCCTAAGAGAGTTTAGAGACGGACCAAGGCCAGACACTGAACTGACCCTACTGAAGCAAGTGTATCTGCGCTGGGCGGTCTTTCAGCCAGCCAATGGGTCAGTTCCTCCCTGTTCCTGGAACTGTGGCTGGACTTTTGGAGGTACATAAGTTTGTGGCTTCTGCTAAGCCCATAGATAAATCAGAGTGGGGATGATGACACCTGCTGGTGGGAGCCTGCATATATGAGGGCAGAGCCTGGACTTTATGTGCATGTGAACAGCTCTGCTTCCTCTTTCTTCACATCACCCTGCAGAGAACCTGTCGGTCACTTTAAAGGCTCCTACAGGAAATAAAACAATGACTTTAACAGATAAAAGTGCAGTCGGTGGAAGTCAAGGTCAATTCACCCTTTCAAATGTTGTCAGTCTGCTTCAATTTATAGTGTTTTTCAGAGAACATATTCATCAAGAATAACATCCTCAACTAGTTCTGCTCATGGTTTCTATTTGAGAAAAAAATACAAGAACACAAAGAGGCATAAAGGGTTTTTTTTAGAGCAATGCCACAGAGCAGTGGTCCGCAACCCTGGTCCTGGAGATCTATGCTCCTGTACAATCCATATTCTGACACACCTGTTCCAGCTAATTAACTTCTTCAGAAGTCCTGGACTGGCTGGTTCAGATGCAGCACTAGGTAAAGTGCATATTCGATTCAGATTCTCAAAGTGTACCTACATTTAAACACACATAGAAACCATAGTCAGATTTTGTTAGGGATGCTATTCATCATGAATATGTTCTCTGAAGAACAATTTTGATCAGACTTGTTCCTGCAAATCTACCTTCCTGTAGAGTATAGTTCTCATCACATTCTAAGTTCTTTCGAAGCACCTTATTGGCTAGATCAGATGCCTTAGTGGTAAGGTAAAGTGGAGAAGCTTGGAACTAAACTCTGCAAGAAAGTAGATCTCCAGGAGGAGGGTTGGTGACCACTGGTGTAGAGGAACTACTTTGGTTCCCTACAGTAGCTTTCAATTGATGATTCTTTGGTGTCAACGTGAATCAGGAATCATAAAGCATTTTCCTTCAGCACTGTAAAGTGTTTTTGAGTGAAAAGTGGTATTAGAGAGGATCTCTGACCCAGCTGAGCATGCTTACTCAATTATAGGCAGGGTAGTGGGAACGATATCGTTGTTTTTGATTACATTTTGATTTTGAAGATCTTTTAAATAATATAATATGAATGTGTTTAAATGAGGATCCTCTTTTTCTACATCCATTTGTCCAAGAAACAAACCATTTAGGAACCTTTTTTTATTTTTTAAGAGTTTCCAACATTTTTAAGAGTGTAGAACTAATATGCAAGAGGTTCCAGAGGCTGACCTGATGCACTCTTGCAAGAGCACTGGATTGAACGTTTGTTTGCTTCATTGAGATCCCTCAGCATCATTAGGTCCTACACAATGAACCTGGGATGGTTAACTTAAATAGCGTTTGCACAGGTAGGTGTCATGATGGTCACTGAGCTGATAAGAATGCCGTCTGAAATTTACCTCGGCTGAAGTAAACATTGTATTGTCCTCTGTATTTATCCCTCCAACTGCTGACTGAGCCTCTCCCACATGTGTCTAAAAGCGTCTATGGGACGCGCTTGGTGGGAGGAGGGAAGCGTACACAATCTTTGTTGCCCTTGGATTGTTCTTTTCCGTTTTCCTGCTTGTATTCCTGACTGGAATGCTGGGAGCCCAGCGTTTTGGTGGTGTTTAGCTGGAGAGTTTAATGAGGGGCCATTTGGTCTGGATAAGCATGTTTGTTGGTAAATAGTAAGTTGGGATGAACTAGGACCGAAGGTCAATGAAGTGAGCATGAATGAGGGTTAGTGGTGAATACAGGACACATTGTTTAACAGTGGGCTATATGTTTATATACAGTGTTTTCTGTTGACCTGAAAGAGTAGATGCTTTGTCTGGAAAGAACGAGCTGTGTGGGGTTAACACAAGTGGCCTCAGTTAGTTCAGGACTGGATTTATTATGAGGTTAAATGGCTCACTAGTTATACAGGACTGTGGAAAAGTCAAAGTCAAAGACCACCTTTTATTTATTTCAATTCCAGTAAAAATGGCCATTAAGTAACACAGAGTAGATAATTTTTCAGGAGATATGGGAATCCCACTGTGTGAAACCTGGTAGACCCCCAAAACTGCCCCAGCAAATAAACAGTATTTTCCTCTTTAAGAGAGAGAGGAGAAAATCAAGCTGCTTTAAATCTGAAAAAAATCCACAGGTGGATACTTTCACTGTGAGAAGACAACTCAGCGCTATGGGTCTGAAAGGATATTGTCACTGTCCAAAGTTGTTTCTCATTTTTTGACATAATTTCAGAAAATCAGGTGCCCTTTACATTGTGTTAAAATTTCATGAATGAACCAAAAGAAATGCTCCAAAATTTCTTGAAGTAACATCTCTTCACTTACATTGAAAGTAAAGTACATTTTAGCCCTCTACTATAAGGTAGCCATTTTTGGAGATTTTGGACATTTATGGAGCTGTGAAGAAGCTGTTAATGTACAAAATAAAAAGAAAATGTAAAATGTGGAGTAATGTGTTATAGATTAATGAGTCTGTACTTGGATCATGACAATCAGACAATGCAAACAACTTTTAAGACTGAACTTTGGAGGTGAAGTTCTTGCATTTCTTTGAGCTGTTCTTGCATTTCTTCTAAGCTGGTGGGCACACAATACTGAAAAATAGTGTGTTTAGTCATTGAGGTGTACATGTTTTCTGCTTTTCATCTTGATGCTGAAAACTGAATAACTTATACTGGAAATAAAATTAATGAAGCTCGAGGCAGGACAGTCATTGGAAACTACAAGTGCCCCCAGTGATGTTTTAGCACATTGCTTGAAGAGCATGTTAGTGTGACATAATGCTTGTTCGTCACTTTTCTGCAATTCTATAAAAGAGCTCTATTAGCTCTAAAATGCCAGGAATCACAGTACAGTTCTCAGTAATCCTCATTCATCCTGACACAGTTCGACTGCCAACAATGAGTTGGATGAATCTCGGCTCCAGACACACTCTATCTATCTCCTTCATACACAAACACGTGCTCACACATGCCACCCAGCTCAGATAAAGTCCCTGTACAGGCAGTTCTGAGGAATGTTTTCACCCCTCGCCTGCCCGCATGCGGTCAGCTATTTCCTGTTTCACGCTGGTTCCTGCTTCTACCTATGAAGCCTTTATTTTTTTTTTATTTGCCCAGGAACACGTGACAGCTCCTCATGGCCCTGAGCCTGGCCTCCAGGTCCAGCGTAGTCTGCCATTCACGCAACGTGCTCAGATCCTGCCGAACGTCGGCCGTGCCCGAGCTAATGAATGCCACTCTCCGATTTACATACTCCACCAGCTACAGAGCTCTAACAAAAACAATGTGTTTCCTTACACAGTCACACTCGTTTCCAAATGTTTGGAGAGGCGCATGCATCAAAGACGTGTCACAGTCTTTAAAGGATTTTGAGGTAAATTAGAGATGGCAAAATATTATGGACAGATTTATCAGTGAAGGCCACAGCAGCAGCAGCAGCAGGTCTGGCGTTTTTCGCTCTGCCGACCTAAATCAGGTCCAGACTCTGAAGGCTTGTAAACAAGGCTAAATCAGCCCCTGCAGATCCTTTCTTTTATATA